CATGTGATCTGTAGCACCTGAATCAATCACCCAGTTGTTCGAAGATGAGGCCATATTCTTGATACCGAGAGAACTCTGCAAACTGATCTGCCAAAACCAAAATTGTCCCTAAATTGTCTTATCCTTGTGATTAGTAGCCATATTTCCTCCTTTCTAATTGTTTGAGTTATATTTTCTAACTTAAATATCCAAATAGCAATACAGGAGAATCCAACAAACACAAACAGCAAATACAATCCAATACCAATAAAATAATTATAGTCGAGGCTCAAACTTCAAGAACAAAGAAGATGAGAGAGAACAAAGGAACAAAAAATCAAGAACAAGCATCCAGAAAACACTATTCATTCAATGTTTAACAGTATTCAACAATCGCAGCAGCACCAAACAGAATACCAGATCTGAATCGCAGAAGCTATAGCGAAATATGAACCTGGAAGTAACTTTCAAAAAAATATGAACCTGGAAGGTGAAAGTGTTCTCCAAACAGTGTTTCAACACCAAACAAAACTGGGGGTACACCAGAAAGTATGATCTGCCTCCTACTGTGGCAGTGACACAAATTGGCCACTTTGAAAGTGATCGATTTGAAATCTGAGTTTGTTTCTGTAAGACAGCAAAACGAGATTGAGTTGCCTTTCGAAACAGAGAGAGAACATGATCAAGGAGCCTATAGGCTCTGATACCATGTAATCGAATAGAAGTAGATATCTTATTCCAATAGTTGCAAGATATAAATACAATATACTCTGTGCTAATTTAGGAAAGAAAATAAAGAGGGATTCCTACAAATCTGCTAGCTAATTATGAGGGATTCCTACAGATCTACTAGCTAAAAATATGCCTATGTATACTACTAAAATGATGTCTATATACATTTTGTAACAATTTTTATTTCTGTCACTTCAGAGTGGCTACATTAATTGGTCATTTTGAGAAATTTTTGCATCTTCAAGGCTAGCTGTTCTACTGTATACTTCATTCATTAGAAAGCTGAAAATTTTCCAATATACTTGTATACTTGGAGCAAATCAATGAAGATTCTGGTAAATAAATTGGTTAATTTTTCTATTTATGCTTCTCTAAAGCTTATGCTTTAGTCAAGAGATTCATAGAGTTGGTTGGAACATCAACTCAATCAAAACTCTCTTTCTGTTTAAGCCAAGACTATTGATTTTAACTTAAGGTCTGTGATATAAGTTCTCTGTGGATGCAGTTATGTAGGAAGTTGAAAATGTTGGCTTTCTTTTTCATAGACTTTGATGTATGAATGATAAGTCCTATTATTTGAAATGAGTTAAGGAAGAAGGGAGACCAGAGATAAGATATACGAAATTCTTTGGGTATAACAGATTAAAGGAATGACTTGAGATAACTTGTATATACTTTTGTCTGAGAATTTGCATGGCTTCTCTGCTCATAAGCTAATTTATTAGATATATGTGAGCTTTTCTATTTCATGAATCTGTGTATATTCCCTCTCCCGTTTAGACTTCTCTTTGAGTTCATGCTTTTTGATGTTCAGTTTAAGTGCTTCAGTAACATCAGAACATTGGAATATTTGTTTAATTGTGATAGGTGTTAAGGTTGAAACGGGGAACTAACTCGATTTTTCTGTTGTCTCCTTCATTTTCAGTTCTAAATCCTGATAAATTGACTGAATTTATGCTGCTAGATCAAGCACCAGTTAGCCACAATACTCATCTATTCAGGTTATTTTTTTCTTTCTTTGTTATTTTATAATTATGGCGTTTACACTTTGATAGTGACACATATTCCAGGTGGATTTTGCTCTCCCGTTAAATGTTTTCTCTAAACAGCTCTAGCTCACATCTTACTGATTTATAGAGGAACAGTAGTATGGCTCTAGCACTATCATTTATCTTTAAACTGTCGAAAAGCCTGGATCTAGAAGAATTAGTTTCAGTATCATGCTTCATATTATAGCACATTCAATTATTAAAGAAACTGGAATTAGAATTGGGAAGCATGTAGTCTTGATCTATCCTTGCTTGTTTGATGGCCATTAAAGCCTTATATATGGGGTGTGTATTTTAGATTCTGGTTGAAACTTTCTGCCATTTTTTTGGGGACAATGTGTGTGAAACAATACCTCAACCCTCTATTTTGCTTAGGTTAAGTAAATGCGAAACTGAGTTGCTGTGTAGGAGTTCTGGAAGAACGTGCATTCTGGAAATTCATTTATAAGCATCTTGAAGTGAATATTTTGTGTAATTGCACTTCCTTTTTTTGTTTGCTAAATAGCTTATGTAAATGCATACCGCCTGAAAATTCACCTCTAGTAGCAGTATTTTATATATATAGATTAAAGCTATCCAAAAAGATGGGTTCTCTTATCTCCTGATGTTCTATTTGACTTTAATGAACCAAACGTGAGTGTAATGTAATCCCCACAAAAATTTAATATTAAAATCTGTCTATTTTTCAAGGGGGTGGGGGAAGTTTCCGATGCTTCAGCTCTACATTTCTATTTCATATTGATAGACCAAACTTTCCCGGAATCATGAGCTGCCACTACTTTATACTACATTTTTACACTACCCATATATGTTTTTAAGTTCCTTTTTTTTCCTATTATTTTTTCTTTATAGGGTGATATCCTTTAGAACCTTAAGATATCCTGGTTGCTGATAAACTTTTAGCGCTCTTCAATTCCATGAAGTTTGTAAGTCTCTTCCTTTTTCTGCAAATTTGCCTTTCCAGCATATAATTGGAGTACATACTGACATCATGTTCACTGATACAACATTTGCAGACATGTTTAAGTGAGGGAATGGGCTACTATTTTCCACCATGCCACATAGTTAATATAAGTGGTTTTCGGGTGTTACTGCCCTTTGGACCTTTCATCCCTAGCTGTATCCACTTGGTATTTCTTCCCTGCTTGATGAGAAAGCTTCAATTCAATGAGGCCAAAGTCCATCAAATTCAGAGTCTGTAGGACATGATGTTTCGGAGCTTCTTGATTCCAAAAGTTTGATACTGGCTGAGCCTTGGTTTAAAACTGTGAAAAGCTTGCCGAATATTTATTCCATAGATCTAGTACTAATCTCAAGTCCGGTGGGTATGCTAGGGTGACCATTTCTTACCAGCCTCAAAGACTTCAGAGCAAAGGTGATAAAAAATATATTTTCTTACATTTTTAAATACAATGACCTTTATGCTGGTAAATATCTTTTTTGATGTGGTTATCTCATATGATATATGCAACGAAAGCAGCTTCCAGGCTTGGGAAACTGATGATGGATGCCCTTATTTCCATGCATATGGAATTGAGAAAATCCTATGGACCTGAAGAGTCTAGTTTCCCTCAATGGATCAGATGGGAAAACTTGAACTACTTCCTAGGGCACTAAAGGATATTGTTTTAGGCAGTGAAAGTATAGAGCTTGGTGGATGGTTGTTATACAGGTAACACTTCTTATTTCATTTAATAGAAATATCTATTTTCATCACACTTTTTGTGATTCATCAATTAGTGTGTTCCAACTTACCTGAACTACTCTGCTACTTCCACTTATGTTTTAAAATGCTAGTTGTGCTTAGATGTAAATGTTCTAGGTGATACAAACACATAAATAAAGTATCTTAAAAAATGAGGAACACATGATGCAGGGATCTCATAATTTTCTTCCACCAATACAAGATCACACCCTTTTAAACTGTAGAAAAGACTACATCTAGAACAATTAAACTTATTAAGATCGTGAACTATATAGGGGATTGCTAATATGAAGTAAGTTTTGCCAAATCTGAAACTGATCTCATCGCCCATTGTGTTAGGCACTGATACCAAATTGTTATGAATTTTTAGGGAAGGATCGATTCACAGGGCGATATATAAATCAGCTCGTTAAAGGGAGGCTGAAACCTTAGAGTTCATTAAAAGAGAGAACCCTGATCTCTTCAGCTCTTCAACTGGAGACTGAAACCTTAGAGTTTAATGGAAGAGAGAACTCCAATCTCTTGCTTTTTGCTGAAAAATGACTTACTAGTTTATTCATCAAAATTCCCTTTAAATAGGAGTCTTATTACATTAATAAGAAGTCTAATTCTTATGAAAGTAGGAGACCTAAATCCTATTCCAAACTAATAACTATAGCATAACCTAATCCTTATAAAACTATGAAACATAAACTCTATTCTTGAATAATAAATAAAGCTACTAAAATAATAATTAAATACTTAATTTAAGGGCTTCCCACGCATCCACAACAGTTTCTAGGTAGTGTTCCTTGTTGACGGGGACTCACACTTGAAGATAGTTGACAACTCAGTTGTTGCTAAATTGGCTTAACATATACTACATGTGAATTTACCATCTGCCCAATACTTGAAAAATCTGTACGCATCTCTTTCACATGGTCATCAGTTGAGTTAAACCTTTTCATCATCTTAGTCATCATATCCCCATACTCACAATCCATTCACCCAACCCCACATGAAAAATTAGTGCAATGCCCTCAATGCACAAATGATATAAAAACTTAGGGTTAGACAGACATTTGGCTCCCAAGCTCCGAAGAACTATTAAGAAGCTTCTCTTTGGAGCACCATGAATAGTGCCCTTCGATGCCGATGCTCCGACTGCTAACTCACGCTCTTGCTACTTCCTAAAGTCCTCATTTACCTTTGATTTGTTTCCGAGCAGCCTTTAGCGCACATCGCACTCTTGTAGCCTCGCCGCCCTCATCAATGTCACTAGGGGCATCATCCGCACACACTTTCCAGTCACACGGGGAAGGTCTTGAGTAGGCTCTTCATCCTCAAATAGGGCAGATATAACATCGCCTCCACCATTAGTAGGGGAGGCTTTGGTGAAAATGAGCTAGCATCAGCCAATGCATCAATGTCCGCCCGGGGTGTGGCTAACTTAGTCAGGAAGGCGGAGAGATCTAAAGTCGGCTCAGGTCGAGGCCTATCTAATTTCTGAAACTCATAAGGCATCAATTCTCTGTTGCATTACTTGAATCTTATCATCAACAACATTCTCTCTCTTGCCTCCGTGTCCTCTATGACCTTTCTCATCCATGGACGAATATGCTGCAATAGAATCTCGATTTGAGTCCAATTTCTGGAGTCTGGTTAGCGACAACATGGAGAAACCTGTAGGAATTGAAGCACGTGGTGCGCTCGAAGTCGGGCTAGAGGAAGAAGATGACGGAGTAGTTTCATCATGCTCAGTAATGGGGGTTGAATTGTGCCCTCCGCTAACTTCTTTGATGAAAGTGCTTCGACTGTAGGCGACATATCAATATGGATACCCCGATGTGGTGCTGTGGGGTAGGGCTGATCAAAATCGAACCGAAAAAAATTTATTGGTTTATCCGTAATGGGTTATTAGTTTAGCGATTTTGATAACGGTTTTGAGAAAGATGTCACTTGTGAACTCATGTGCATGGTCCATATCTCTCATAGCTGCTTACTATTCCTAACTAGCTGCATCTGATAAACAAACTCATCTATATTAATTAGCTGCTCATGAGATGGGCTGTAAAATTTCACGAGAATGTCCCTTACGAGTGTGGATAGAAGTCAGGGCTGATCTTATTCGTTGGCCATCCTAGGCAATGTGTTTTTCTCTGTGGCCACATACAAGGCATTGAACTCTCGTACCATGATCAGGCTATATTTGCTCGTGCCTGTTCCATCAATTCACATTTGATCCGCGGCCTGACTCAGAATGTGTGTCATGCTGTGGACCTGAGCTGCCCTAGGCTGTGACTCCCCACTACCTTCTCTCGAACTCTGTGCTCCCTCCTCAGACTAGGAAGAACAATCATGGCTCGAGGAGTCGGACTCATTCAGCACCAGAATAATGTCTAGTTTCTAAATCGGTTGGAGTGTTTCCTCGGTGCCTTTGGTGAGGACTAGGGCAGGGTCAAATTCAAACCAATTGAGTTCATTATCCGTGCATTTTTCAATAAGTTGAAGCTGGGCCGATGATGCGGTGGGTTTTGACCTTCGTCCATAAGTTTTGGTATTCATTGGTGGCATAGTACCTGTGGAAAAGTCAGTAGTACCCAAACATATAAAACAAAGCCAGAAATGAATGAAAATAAAACTACGAAACCAAAAGAAAACAGAAAAAAATAATTTGCAAAAAATTCACTGCTTGGTCCTACGATTGGTTCTTACAGATCGTTTTACTTCTACT